GGCAGAGGAAATTATCAGACCACCCCAAATGAAGGCTCTTGGCAATTGCCTCATGGAAGGAGAACTGCCAACCATCCAGCACGAATTAGAAGTGGTCTCTGTGCATGACCTGAGTGGCATAAAGAGGCTCAAGCAAACTGAAATATCTAGGCAGAAGAGGAAGTATAGGGAGACTGGAGGACAACACATGCAGGCAAGCGTACAGCTTTGCAGTTCCACTGGAATTGAATTCATAGTGTTGTCATAACCTTAGCTAGACACATCTGAATGTGACATTAATTTCTTTTTAAAAATGAGATAATTGATGCATCTTTATTGCTGGGTGGACTTTAATTTCCTTCCGTTCTACTCTTCTTCAGTAAAATTAAAGACCATAAAGAGAGAACTTGCTAAATTCCTCTTCTAAAGCTATTCTATCCTGAAAGCTGATGGTTTTATTTTTTCTTACCTCATCCAGATGGAAAAAAAATAAAACTTAGTTTCAAAAACTGACAGTTTAATAAAATGTTTTGTAAATAAGTCTGAATGATAAACTAATCATTACTGGGTTTTTTTTCTATAGTGTTGCTACTATTTCTGTTCAATGCAAATACTAAAATATTATGGCACTTTAAATTAAGTAGAATTTTTGATAGGGTTTTCTACATGCTTACTCTCTTAATCTGATTCATTAGCATGAAAGGCTTTAGTTTCAAAATATCAGAATTTACCAGTAGAGATACTTATTCAGTGTTTTGGTGTAATGGGGATATATTACTGAGAAAAATTCTGCTTATGGACTGCAGTATTTCCCAATTCCAAACCATCTGATGACCATGGATTTTTTTCTTTTGTAAAACAGCCCAGTTAATTTTTAATTGCTACTTATCCAAATTTTAAAAATTGGCATATACCTTCTAAATAAAATAAAATTAAAATTCTATTAATCCAGAACGTACTCTGTTTAATGATAAACTGAATAATGCTTAATTTTCTTTTTTCTGTCTGAACATTTTTGACATCCATTTTCAGCTACAAACTGCATCTTGTTTACTGAAATAGAATTCTCTGTCTGGGGAATGGACATATCAAGAGCACTCCTGCCAAGAAGGACTTGGGGGTGCTGGTGGGTGAGAGGCTGGACATGACCCAGGCATGGGCACTCACAGCCCAGGAAGCCAAACGTGTCCTGGCTGCATCCAGAGCCCCGTGGGCAGCAGGGGAGGGAGGGATTCTGCCCCTCTGCTCTGGTGAGACCCCAGCTGGAGCACTGTGCCCAGCCCTGTGTGTGGTCCCCAGCACAGGAAGCACATGGACCTGCTGGAGCCCAGACCAGGGCCATGATGATGGTGAGAGGCCTGCAGTACCTCTCCTGTGAGGAAAGGCTGAGGAAAGGCTGGGATTGGTCAGCATGGAGAAGGCCTCATTGTGGCCTTAAGTACCTAAAGGCGGCTTGTAAGAAAGATTAGGAAAGATAAGGAAAGAAAGATAAGGCTTATAGGAAAGAGGGCACAATTTTTGGCAGGCATTGAAAAGAGGGTGGATTTAAATTAGATATGAGGAAGAATATTTTTAGAATGAGGATGGTGAAATACTGGAGCAGGTTGCCCTGAGAGGTGGTAGATGCCCCATCCCTGGAAACATTCAGGGTCAGGTTGGACTGTGCTCTGAGCAACCTGAGCTAGTTCAAGATGTCCCTGCTCATTGCAGAGGGGTAAAATCTAAATGTCCCTGCTAGCCCAAACAATTCAATAATTCTATAATGCCATAATTCTATAATTCTATAGCATTTTACATACACTTTACAGTCACATTTGCACTCACAGTACATTTTCAGTGACACAGTTGCAATACTGCAAGGATTGCACACAGTGACACACTGCAATACTGCAATACTGCACACAGAAATTTCACATAGTGTTTCAAGTAGGATTTTCATAATTTAAAAATCCGATCCTCTAATTTGGAAGAAAAGGCTGAATATATTTCAGCAGTGGTCTAGTTTTTTCCTCTTTTTCTATCCTTTTTTTTTGCTTTTCTTTCTTGGTGCTGCTAAGAATGCATACTATTAGAAACATAGAAAGGAGCCTGAGTTTGGGAGATGTTTGTTTAAATCTTTGAAGGGTATGTGTCTGTTTTTTACTAAAACACATGTGATCTGATCATACAGAAATTGTTAGTCCAGTTCTTCAGTTCTACGGGGAGAGTGAGAAATAATGTGAAGTTACAGTGAACCCATCTGGTCAAGCAGGAAAATCCGGTTTAATTGCTCCATTGCCAGAAATGTTAAATCACTTCCTGGGAATGCAATTCATTTGGAACATATGGAACTCATTGGAAGGTCTCCAGTGAATTCAAAACTGTACTGAAGATGAGAGCATTTCTCATAAGTAACAATCATGTTTTCCCACTGGGCAGCATGTAAGCAGCATGTGTAGCTGTATTAACAAAAAACTAAACAATAGGAGGACTGTCTGAGATCTTGTTCAACAAGATTTACTCATAGTTTACTTTAAATTTTCAGGAGATGCTATGTCCATTTAGGCTTCTTTCGTTCAGCATTTGAGCAGCAAAAGAATGGCCTGATGAAACTTTTAGCTCATTTTACGTCTTAATTGAGAAGCACTGCACTCTAGAAAACAGATGTTTCAAAGCAATCTACCTCACTCTGACTTTCAATTTTCTGGTACTTAAAGTGCTTCTTCATCCTACTAAACAGAAGTAGAAATTTTGTGACTTCCACATCTTTCCTGAGGCTTGATGATTTTATGTATTTCCTCCAATTAAACTCTGGCAACCTTTAAGACTGCCATTTAATAAATTCATTGAAATGTATATTTCATTGTACATCAACAGGTTTTAATGATCATCAATTATAAATACTGTATATTTCCAGGAAATAAATAGATGTGACCAATGGCATTATTAACAATATCTAAATCTGATATGCCAATATGAATAATCTACATGTTGATGTGAATGACAATGACAGCATTTTAGGAACAGTTCATTCAGGCTAAAGGCACTGCCAGGGACTCACAGTGCAGTTATAAACATGACCAAAGTCCATTCAAGTCTATCATAAAGCCAGCAGAAAATTATCTTTTTCTTTGTCATTACCATATCCCCATGAAGTCCTGAAACTGCTTCCCCTGAGCTGTTCCTCTTGGCTTTGCATTTAGAGCTTCCAGAGGCTGTCCCCATCAAATTATCTCTTTTCCATGACACAGCTTATGATTTCAGTGCAGACACTCTTGGTTGCCACATCTTCAGCCACTTCAGTGTTCTCTAAGCTTTTCTGAGAGGAAGCCATCATACCTTTTGTAGCTAACAAAACTCAACAGTAAAGTGTGATGTTAACCTGTTCCCATCTTTCCTCCTTTTGTCCTGACCCTCCCATTTGATTCACACTAATGTTTTCTCTTTCTTTCTTGTGCCATTAAGGGGTTTTTTTTTCCTGTTTCCTTGCTTCTTTCTCACCTTCTTCTCTTTACAAACTTCTGTCTTTAGAAATTTCCTTCTTGGACTAATGTGAATAGTGAATCTCAGATTTTCTTACTTATCTTAGCCAGTGAAACCACTTAAGTGTGGAAAAGAGAAGAAAAATAAATACTCATTTTCAAAGTTATATGAACATTTTGTAAAAATTCATATATTATACACTTTTTCTTTCTTGAAACTAAGACCTTGATTCACTCTGGTTTTATTGTTTCTTTGGCATGTTAATTTTCCTCAGTCTGTGTTTCCTCAGATTTAGTTGCATTACTCATTCTTTTTCTGAACAAATATATGTTTGTAAAATGCAAGGAAAATGCTTTGCCAGGAAGAGAATATTTTTGGTTTGAATAATATTAGTCTGGTTGTGTAATATTTTTGAATGTCAAAATCAACCAACACACATTTAGCCAGACAGAGTACAGGTGAAAGAGAAAAAAATCACAAAATGCATATACTAATGTATAGCATCTAGGACATGTTCTAGTAGAAATTCTGCTGAAATTTGATCCAGAAAGTTGTATGAAGCACTATTGTATATAGCAGGACAAATCAAATGAAATTAAAATTGCGAAGTCTGTTTTGAGAAATTCTATAGCAAGTCTGAAGCTGGTTGCTTTATTTCTGTCCATCTCTACTCTTTTCCTTTTTCTTTGAATCTGCAGCAGGAAAATCTGCTGAATAAAGGCTAGGATAACATAAGTGGAAAGGAGGTAAAATTGATATGTTAACTCAGTAACTCGGTGTGCAGTTCTGCACACATTGTATACCCAATCCAATTTCTCATCCAAACTTTCTTACCTGTATCCTATATGCACATTTCAAAATTCCTTCTTTTGACATATAATTTTCACTTTATAGTTCATTCAATCTATAATCTCATTTTTTTAGGGAAAATACACTCAGAAAGTTCTTCTATATTAGTCTGAAAGAAAATTATAATATGAAACAAAATTGGCATCAATTGCAAAAAAAGAAGTCTCATACAATTTTCCAAGTCCAGAAACAATTACAGCCAATATGAAAACAATTCTATTACTTGTCTCTGAAAATTTACACAAAAAATAAGAAGTTGCTATATTATAGAGCAGCACATATTTGAGCCTACAGAAGAGAAATTTGGCATTTCTGTCAAATCCTCAGCTGCACAGATTTTGTCTTCCTCCCTCAAAATTATGAAGTAATTTCCCAGTGGAATTTTGTGATTGTGTGTTCTTGGGATGATTTTTTCAAAATGTAATCATAAGAATATCTTATTAACTCCATCTCCTCCCTTCTCTCCTAGCCCTTTCTAGTGGTAATTACTTTTACAATAGATTGTAAGACACTCAAATGGGAACTGTATGTTTCTCCCCAGAATGCTTAGCACAGTGAGACTGCAGTTTTTTCCAGATCTTCTAGACACTCACAAAATTTACCTAAAGATTTCATAATGTTTCCCTAATATTATTTCCCTAACATTCCCCCTGGTATTCCCTAAATACTACCTAATGTTTTTTAATAGTGGTATTTTTTTTTTCTTTCAGGCTATGCCAGTTATTTCAGAGAAGGAGAAGGCTGGTGAGTAAATATTTACTCATTTTCTCATTTCCTTGTTGTATTTGTTTTTGGAATACCCTGTTACTTAACTAAGTGATAAAAGACAGGCTTCAACTGTGGGCTTTCAAACGTATAGGATTGCAGATTTGACCAATGTCTATGTAAAGGCTATCTGTTGTTTCCTGACTAGGGTAATTTCTCTTTCTAAAATGCAGTCCAGTTTTCTGTGTCATATTAATAAGGATGTTTGAGACTGTCCTACAAAGTTGAATTGCATCTCCTCCTTACATGTCAGTATTCCTGTAGTTACTAACTTGTTATTTGGTGTTAACAGGTATTATGATTTATTAGATGTCTCAATTAACAAACATGGGTGCAAACAGGTTTTCTCAAGTCAATTGAATTTGACTTTTGATTTGGTGTAAGCTTTACTGTCTATCTTTATATATGGCAAGAAATTTCAGTTACCTGGAGTATTTCACTGGAGATAATAACATTTGTTTTGGCTAAGTACTTCTAGAATATTGAAAAATTGTTTTTCTGTTCTTTTCTGTTACACTATGTGCTTTGGTGTTGCTACGTGAAATCTATTACTGATTGCCTGCTAGACACTGTCAAATTCTTGTGCTAAACACTAGGGAACTCAGCACTATTGCTCTCAAGAATCTCTGTTGGTTGCTTGTCTTTTAATTTAATTGATAATTTGCTACTGTGCTTTGAATATAACCTGAAAAATACCTGAAAATATCCAAATGCCACATGGCATTCAGATTTATGTCTGATTTTTATTGTTGATATTTTCTTGCATTACCCTGGTTCAGATTGTTTCTTTTCTTTTGCTTATTAAGGGAGAAGAATAGGTTAAAAATGTTTCAGAGAAAGTCCACAGTAACAGTCATTGCTGTAAAAGCTATGGAGCTGTCTGCTCAGGATGTTGTTACTTTAGCTGTTGATGTTCAGAAGAAATTCCCAAACTCTGACCCATATTTAATAAGATTTACTTTATAGATTTCATAGGAAGCATTATTTGGTGTTTCTTTTTCTGAAGTTGTAAATTATGTCAAAACATACAAACTGATTATAGTTATATATAACTGATCATACCATTTGTAGCTATTTTCAAATAAAACTCAAAGATCTATGCTTCATCTTTTGGCGTCAAAACTACTATGATATAAGTGTTGGTAATAATATAAAATGAATGTATTTTTTACATAGACTTTATAACCTCTACATATGCATATAAGCATCTCTCTCTTTTCCTTCTTTCTGGTCAGACTCCTGCGCTATGTTTTTCTGTGGACAGTATTATATTTAATATTAAAAATATTAAGTGGAAGTTCATGCCACATGATGTCAGTTTTTTGACATTTCTGTGCATATGAGCACAAGCTAAACTGAGAATGAAGATATGGTTGCCTTTTAATCAGTTTTGGCTCTCATTTAACTCTACAGCTCAGGAGATCCTGAGATTATGATGGGTTATTTTGCAATATTGAGAATTCATGAGGGAGATGATTATTAAGATCAGGCCTAATCACTTGGTTCTAGGGGCAGGAAGTGTTATTTTAGTTAAGTGCAATTGGATCTTGATTCAGACAGTCAGATCCCATGTTTTGCAAGATAACTTGCCAGTGTTTGATCATTGCTGCTTTCACTTCACCAGAATGACATTATCTATAGTCATGAATGACAAAAACATACCTAAGGTGTGAAAACCTTCAAAATAATATAACATATTTTCTTGTCTGCTGTAAGAGAACAAAAGAAATACTAATTTTGATATTTATTTGGAAATACCAACAATCTAAAATTTTCTAGTTTATATTACCACAAACAAACTAAAATGTATCACAAAACATTAAAGAACAAAAAGAAGTTTTTTATTTTATTGCTGGGAAAGCTAATAATTTGCAGGTAAAGAGACTGAATGGCATTGTATTACAATTGGATAGAAATGCACTCAGAATTTCTAGCAAAACATCTTTTCTCATTTTGAGAATTTGAACTAATATTCTCTTGTAAGTCCCTCTTTTCTACTTACTACTGTTTGATTCCATCTGGGGCTGGAATAAGTAATACAAGAAAGTAGAAATGTTGTTATTACAATGTTTCTGGTTTAGAAATTTTATATATACAGAAATAAACCCCTGTTTTAACAAGACTTTTTATTCTGTAGACTCCAGATATCTTGATATTTTCAAATGTTTTTCCTATAGGCAACAAAACATTTAGATTCTTAAATAGACTAAGCTGCCTAAGCAGCTTAGAAGTTCACACATTACTGATTATGTTTATAGCATTTTTTAATCCTTGAAATGAAATATTTTTTCAATTTTATATATTTTCCAACAAGCAGTAAATTTTGACATCAAACACAAACTCCATAAGATGGAGTACTTATCAAAAAAACCAAAACACTCACATACCATTTTTAGATTTGGAGCAAAGCCAAACATCTGAAAACATTGTTGCTTTTGTCAATTAATAGCTCAAGAGTTGCATAACAATTTTTTTTTTTTTTAATAGTGGAAAGTGCCGTAAAACATGCAATTGCAAAGTGCCTTTGGCAAAAATCTATAAATGATCAGTATATTGAGCAGAACATTGGTCATGCCTAAACACCAGCCCAATTGCTTACACTTGTGTGAATTGGGGCATTGTAAATGATGTACTGTGGCATCAGCTAGGTCTGAGTAATGCATTTTTAAGAAGTCTCAATATTGTTGACATTTCTGGCAATGTTGAAAAAATAAATCTTTCAAAATAATATTTTGAGGTAGAAGTTAAGATCAAGCAGTATGCACAGTCAGAGAAAATGGTGGTTCAAGCCAAGAGATGACTCAGGACAAGTAATGCTGGCACCTACATTAAGAATGCAAGCCAGAAACCAAATTCAAAACACTATTTTTTCAGATTCATCTGTTTTTCTTTTGAGTAAATTACATATTTGCATGCCTTTGCTCACCTTGCTGACTGTTGTGATTTATGTTCTCCAATTCTGTACAAAAACTGTGAAGATATTTGAAGGATGGAGAGTTTAGCACACCTGTCAATAATGTGTCAGAGTTTGTAGTGTTGACTCCATTTATAGTCTAAAAATAATCAGCATCTGAACCTTTGGTTCACATGACTGTAAATCAGCATCTGTTTTACTGATGTGATTCACATATGAGACTTCATGAATGGTATCAGTTAACTCTCCTCTAACTGCAGGCTCGAGACAGCTCCTGACACACATACCAATATTCAGTACAATGAATCCACTGTGAGCTTCCTAATTCAGGGCTAACTTCTGTTTCTGGAGTAGTGTTCCCAAAGCAAAGGTGAAATGACTTTAAGCCAATATTAGAATTATTGCCTAAGCCTCTTTGTGTACCTGATTCATGCTTTCCCAATTTATCCTCAAATATTTGTAGGGAATAGTGAACTCTGTGGCTTAGAAACATTGCTACAACAGTGGGAGAGGCAGAGCAAATATCCACACCTGGTCACAGACTAGCACAGCTTATTTCTCTTGAGGTGATGGAGCTATGTACTATCAATAAACAGGGCAGAAGGTTTAGTCTAGCCCTAAACAAATTTTAAGTAAATATTAACACCATTGGTCCATAATGTTCAGCATTATAATAAATAAGTTTTTTTAAGTGAGAATAGGAATTGAACATGCTTTTGAGTTTTCATGACTCTATCAAAATATTCCCTTGTGCTTTAAAAATATACTGTGGGAAAAGTGCACAGCCTTTTTGGGTAAATCTCAGTATTCTCTCTAACTATCAAGTTAGAGAGATCTACTTCAGCACAAATAAAAGTGTCAGACTTTTATTTGTGCTGAAGACTATATATGTAGTACAACAGATTTGATAGCCCATTTCTCACTGTGTTTTGATGATCAGCAAGACAAGAAGAGGATAAAACATGAAGCACAGTAAAAAATAGCAGCATCAGTAGATCTCTTGCCAGCATACAGTTCTTGAAAGCTCCCCAGTGTCAGTATTAAAATATGGGCCTAGCAGTGAACAACTCTTTCTTTTTTTTTTTTTTTCCTTGCATCTATTCTAGATTTCTGGCAAAGACACTATTTAATGAAGTACAGGTTCTATTCTCCTTCGGTGTTAATTTTCCTGGTTGTCTTTTGATTCAGAAGGAAGATAATACAGAGATGATTAAAGAGGCCTTAATGAGAGGGTTTTTCCTCTCACAGGCTCTTAGTGTCAGTGTCAGGCAGCAGAGGACACTGGGTGCCCAGCCCCATGGTGAGATGAGCTGCAGAACAGGAGGTGATGGAGTGATGACAAGGTGGGTCGGCTGTCTGTGAGAACTCACAGCAGGAGGACATGGAAAATCCAGTACCACGGGTTCACTATCATGTAACCAGGCACATAAAAGACCAAATGCTTGGCTCATTAGGTAGAGGTCTTTTCATTCCATTTCATTTAACTGCAGTTCTAATCAAAAGGGAAAAAAAAATTAAATCTTCACTAGATTTTACAAACTTATCCTAGATCCAGAGAAAGCAATTCTTTCTGCAGTATTTCTGAGCAGTATTCACTAGATGCTCTGTTTTCATTAAGTCATTAAGAGCTCATGCATATAATAAACTGTTTTGAACCTAGAGCAAACATTACAAAATTCAATTTGGCTACAAGATATCAATTTCTAAATAAACTGGATAGATATACAAGGTAATTGGCACAGTTACTAGTTTTCTGGCTGCCTTACAATAACTCTAGCCAGTATTGTAAAATAAACTAGGCAAAATGAATTATTAATTGTTCCATTTAGCAAGTGTTTTATCTGGTTTTAGAAGAACAGTCTTACTAGAGTTTTTGTGAGACCTTAGTATGAAGTACTAGCTTCTAGTTAGGTAATCCTTTTTTATTGTCAATGTTGCAACAGTTTTAAAATTTGGTGTTTGTTTTCTAAATAACAATGTCAGGGGAGCACTCATACTTCAATCTGTCATAGTGAAAAACAGTTATAGAAGCTCTGCTAGAAAATGCATGGATGGCTGCCAAACA